TCTTTAATGAAATTTCAATAATTTAAGGTAATATAACTTAATAGGGTCCCCAAATATGTCATTTTCCCTAAGCACCAACCACATTCTGAAAAGATATGGCCATTAATATGATAAAATATTTATCATATTTTAAATAAAATAATATTAAAAGAAAGACATAAATCATCATTAGCAGTTAATTATACACTAATAAAATGAATATAAGATTTAAAGTATAAAAATGAAAAAAATTACTAACTATTAAATTTAATTTTATCATTTAATTTGTATGTATTATTAATTATTTAATCATGATCACACACGTATTTTTTTAGTTCAAGAAAATTTTTCATGACAAAATATAAAGTGAAAAGCTTATTTCAAAGAATTGAAAAAAGATAAAAGATGGGCACGAAATATTTACTGTAAAGTGTTGCTACGTGGTCCAAGCATGCTTCTGCTCTGAAGTGGCATTACTTTGACTTTGCCTTGGTTTTTAATGAGTTCAAATGATGATCTGCCTCTTCTTTTACATTATTAATGATTGTGGAACCAATAACTGTTTTTCTTGGGCTTGTCTCTTGCAAGTTACCATTTCTCTTGTTGCCTTTTTCAAAATAGTTTTTTGTGCCCAAACCTTTTAGGCTGTTTTCATTTTATATAACAAACGCAAATTATATGTAAAAAAGGTTTGAGGATGTTTTGTAACTAAAAAGGGCATAAAGCTCTTTCCAGTTGCAACAAACTGTAGTTTCTTTTGGGTCTGTGATTTTGGGCCAAGTTTGGATCACTGATGGCATTGTGTCCATTTTTCATGCCCATTTATTTATTTGGGCCAATGTACATAGTTAGGGAAAATTACTAAAACTCTAAGGGATTTATTGACAAATAATTCCTGCAAACTTAGTATGTGGTTGTAATTAATTTTCACTGTGAAATAACGCAAATGCCTTTGAATTCACCTTCCTTTGACTGACTCTAATATGTGTTGACCAACTGGCACTGATTGGCTGTTGTTGATTGGTCACTGTTTGCCCACTGTTGATGTTGATAGATAAAAAATATTTTAATTGAAATATTAATTTTTTTTAATATTTACAAGTCAATATTTTATAATTTTAATGCATTAATATTTACAAGTAAAATTTTGTAAATTTACAAGTATATCTCTAAAGAAGATTAACATTTTAAAATTTATAAGTCAAATTCTTATATTTACAAGTTCACCTTGTAGATTTACAAGTTAATTTACATAATTTTGCATTGGTTCTTTAAATTTTACAAATTGTTTTACAAGTACTTATTCAATTTAAAAATCATCCTCTTAAATTTACAAGTTGACCTAAGTATCCTTGCCTTATTAAGTTATAAATTTTGATATTTGGTTTATAAATTTAAAAGGATCACTTGAAAATACTCTTGTTACTTTTAGTTCAAAAATATTTGTGACACTAAACTTGTTTCTGATGTAATACTTTCTTTCAACTTTGAAAATGGTACAATCTTGCTCCTGTTGTTAAAAAAAGATTTTTGTCATAATTTCATCACTAATTTCATCACAAACTATTTTTAATTTAATTTAATTATTTATAATACATATTTATATATAATTTATTATTATGTTATAAGTAAATAATTTTAAAAATTATAATATAAAATAATTTAGTGACAAAAATTTTCTATCACTGTTTCGTTGCAAACGAATTGGTGATAATATTTTTATCGATAGAAATATTAGCAATGAAATTTTCACTGATTATCGATAAAATATTTTATCACTAATTAGCTGTTTTTTTTCAATGCACAAATCCAGATTTGGTGTGTCTCAAATCCTGTCTCCTAATGAGTGTCTCATGTGACACTATAGAGATTGTTGATCCAATCATGTAGTTGCTGAAGATATAGATGCAAAATACAAGAAGAACATGACTCAACCTTCTATCATGCTCGGTATCTTAATCCAACAGTTCACATGGCTATAGAGAAATGATTGAAATGCATCTTCATAAAATTTCCCTTCAACTTGCTATTTAAGTATGAATTTTCAATAGCGTTGATTAAATTAAATCAATTGGTTTTAGTGTGGACACTTACTGAGTGAGAAGATTTAGGATGGAATTCAAAAGCCCCAGGCGCGCACTAATGTCCTCATCATTAAGAAAAGATTTTTTTTTTAATTTTGGTTCCATCTAACAATTACACAAATTCCTATTTGAATTACCTAAACTTAATTATTTTATTTCATGTGTACTATCGATAACAATAAAAAAAAATATGAAAATACACTAAATTAAGGTAAGAATTTATGCTCGATCAATCTTTATTTTGTAATTATTTGATAAGAATTCTCTTTGGTCATGTAGCTATATCTAGCAAAGAGATCAGATAGACCAATTATGTGTATGTTTTCACCGTTGTCCCTATCTAACTTTATAGCTAGAGAGAGATTGTTGGTGAAATTTATACAAAGTTGTACTACAAGTCATGAATAGACTCATCTTAAGCTCTTCTATTCATGTTCTCGTTAATGAGTAATAGCATGGCCATAGCTTTGACTCTTTGAGACCCTTGCTTTAGTTATTGAATACACACACACACACACACCCTATTATATATATAATAGCAAGAGAGGCTGCAGGACTGTTGATTTTGAACGTGCGCCATTGCCATGTGCACTGTGTAATGTGCGTACCACCTTAATGATTCCACCTACTGATATTACAATGAACAGCACAGACCACCATGGAAGTTGCAGAGTCAACGATATCAAAGTGGCAACAGCCAGAGAGCCAAACACAGACATGAGCACTCCAAATTGAGACGCGAAACCGGGAAACATCAACTTATCTGCAGAAGCCAAATAATGTGCCACTGAACATCCCAGAGACGCCATGGAAATCCAAGGATGAAGCTCAAATGGTGAGGGACTCGTCCCTGATAATGATGAACTTTGTATCTGAAGGAAATTGAGCAGAATGTGAATAATATAATGGAAGGGACAATAGAGTTGAAAGAAGAGGAGGGTTTGTGGAGGGAATAATAATTGAAGATGTAAAAGTTGAAGGAAACGACACAAGTAATCTTTCTTGGTGAAGAAAAGCTTTGGCTATAGTTGTTAGACATTGTTTCTGTTTGGTGCAGCGATCAGAGAAAGCTTAAGAAAGATGAACGCATTTATAATACTGTGTCTGTTTTGTGTTGAGAGAGACATGAAAAGCATTTATATTAATTAATTAATTAATTAAGGAAGTGGAAAGGAAAACTCTCTGAACTTTCGGAACGACGGTGAGAGCAGTCAAGTCCACTTCCGTGTGGTTTCATAACAGGACCAAGGGGGATTAACCAGCTAGATCAAGTGAGAGCAAATCTCTACGTACCGTCCGTTTCCTACGCTCAGGATTTAGACACGTCATCCCCCAATAAATGATACTATGGTTTTTTTGCAAAAAATTACATATAAATCCCATAAAGTAAACTTATTTACAAATCAGTCTCACAAAATTCAAAAACCACAAGTAGGTCCCTTGGAACCTGAGTATGATTTGAAATTGGGATGAAAAGACAATAATACCCCTATTAAATATATATACATTATATCAATCAAATAATTAACAATTACTTTATCAATAATTTACAACTATAACTTTAATATTTTACAAGTGTAACTTTATATACCCAATAGTTAAACTGAATAATTAACAATTATTTTATCAACAATTTATAACTATAACTTCAATTTTTTACTACTATAACTTCACATATCTAATAGTTAAATTGATTAGTTTAACAATTGAATATATAAAATTACAATAGTAAAATGTTAAAGTTATAATTATAAATTACAAATAAAGTAGTTGTAAAAAATTAATGTTAAATTTTGTTAGTGATATATGATTATTTAACTATTGAATATGTGAAGTTATAATTGTAAAAAGTTAAATTATAGTTGTAAATTGCTAATGAAATATATGTAAATTAATTATTTGATTGATGTAATATATGTTTAATAAGGATAATATTGTTTTTGTAACCTAATTTTAAATAACACTTAGATCTAAAGGAACTTGGCTGTGGTTTCTAAATTTTATAAGATTTATTGGTAAATAAGTCTATTTCATGATACATATATACGTAATTTTTCCTTTTTTTATATGAAGCGAATATGCATGGTCTATCCACTCCTTTTAGTCTTCTCCGTCCATTCAATTTTATGTTTTTGCCAAAGCCCTATTAGCCTAGTGGTACCTAAGCCACCCTCAAATGAGAGAGGTGGCAGGTTCAAGTCAGGAGAGGGTGTCGAACTCAGCTTTGCTCCTCCCAGGAGGAGCCCACCAGATACAAATCTTGATTGTGAGATATAATTTGAAAGTGTTTGTAAAAAAAAGAATCAATCAAGCTTGGTGTTGCGAGACGTGCCAGAGACGCGGGGTTTTAAAAGGATGGAAGAACCTGACTTCTAATCAAATGCGAGGAACCCGAGCTCCCTCATCACAGTTCACCTAGATGTAAGAATGCAAAGTCAAGAACACTAATATAGATGCAGAAAAGTAGAGATGCATTAATTAAAGAAAAAGGGTGGTGGGCTCTACCAATCATACAATAGGAAATAAAGACTAAAGCTACATGATAAAAAAAATAAAGTAACAGACGTAGAGTCTAAGATTGGTAGTTTGTTGATGCTAATGATAATCTTCCTTGTTGAGAGAGAGCTCCTCTATTTATAGTTTATCCTGATTTGGTACCTAAGCCCCATGATCATCAATTTTCTTGAATTTAGAAAGCATTTTCTATATCATGGCTACTCATTATGGGTGGAGTAAGGCTGGTCTTGACTTAGTGGCTAAGGATTATAAATAATTTCTTTAATTATTTTAAAGCCAATTAAATTAAGTTGAGCCTAGACCTCCAAATTTACAATTTGGGTGCAAATAATGCCCCTTGCATAAAAATTGGCTGGAGCCTTCGTAGGCCAATTTTGTATGGATATGTCTTAAAGGACCGGCTCATTCTCATTTTGATTGATGGTTAATCTGGTACTTTTCTTGAAGGATACCTTTGTGATTGAGGATTAAGGACCATGTGGTCTAGCTTAGGATTAAGTTTCTCAAGGTTTAAAACCTCAAGAGCTGATTTTAGAAATGGCCCTTTAAGTTTTTAAGGACTGGTTCTGTAAGATCTAGCTGCTGCGAGGCCCCTATGAAGAGAACCCTTTAGGAGGGAGCTCTTGTGGAAAAGGCCCTTACAAAACTTGCCTTTCTAACTTTAATCCCTGTGGTACTGGCCCTTATAGTTGGGGCCCCTCTGGTGCTAGCCCTAATGACTTCGGCCCTTGTGGCTCCGGTCGCTCTGGTGTTGGCCCCAATGGTTTTGGTCCCGATGGTGTTAGCCCTAATGACTTCGGCTCTTGTGACTCCGACTCATTTAGTGCTGACTCCAATGGCTTCAACCCTGATGGTGCTAGCCTCGATAACTTTAGTCCTTGTGGCTCTGGCCCCTTTGGTGCTAGCCTCAATGGCTTCGGCCTTTATGGCTTCGGCCCCGATGGTGCTAGGTCTAATGACTCCAACCCTTGTAGCTCCGGCCCCTCTGATACTGGCCCCAATGGCTTCGGCCCCGATGGTGCTGGCCCTAATGACTCCGGGCCCTCTGGTGCTGGCCTCCATGACTTCAGTCCTTGTGGTCGAATAGGCCTACTATTGAATTAGACCTGCCATTTATCTTTTGAGGGATTTTATAGCGGTTCTCGTTATTGATTTTCTGGTCGAAGGGCACTTTGAGAGACTGCTCCCAAGTCTATTTGTTCTCTAAAGGTGCGAGCCAATTGGAGCTTGCTCCTGCGATGATCTAGACCACATAACAGAGATGTTCCTTAGCTCCTCCTTTAGAGTTTGCAATAGAGTTCTTTGCCTCTCGTTAGCTTGTACTTCACATTTTGCATGTGCAGCCACATTCTCTGAGTCGTAAGACTCAGGTCTATTCTTTCCAATAACATATTAATCCTTATGTGTCTTAGGCATTCCTTTCACACGAGTCCCATTGGGCGTGCCAAAAATTGTTTGTAAAAGAAAAAACAATCAATCAGGTGTGGTGTGGCAAGGCGTGCCAAAGATGCGGGGTCGCAAAAGAATGGAAGAACTTGACTTCTAATTAAACGTGGAAAACCTGGGCTCTCTTATTATAGTTCACCTATATGTAAGAATGTGAAGTGAAGAATACTAATGTAGATACAAAAAAACAGATTTATAATATTAAATATAGACTGTCCAAATTTATCACCAGATTTACCAAAAAAAATTTGTAATTTTTATAATGTTTTATTAAAAAAATAAAAAATAAAAAATTGAATCTGGACCGTTAACTTATGAATCAAATTTGCACGGTTCAGATTTGGGGCTAGCGCAGAGGAAGCTACTCAAGAGGAGCAAAGCTGAGTCTGTAGAGCGTGTGTGTGAGGAAGCTTTCTTTTGGGAAAGTGAATTGTGTGAGTTGTGCATGAACAATATTGTTTTAATTACAAAGGGAACCAAAATTTGACCCCTAAGAAAAAAAATAAAACAAAACAAAACAACTGGAAACAAAAGCTTACTGATGGAAAAATAAATAAAAACAAAACAAAACAGTTAACCCTCACCTGTCTCTGAAATTGTAGTCCATGATAGCTATACACTTTGAAAAAAGTTTTATTAGGGGTGGGAATAAGTCACTAAACTTTAACTAAATGGACCTGAACTTATAATATAGGTATAATGACTCTAAATTTAATTTAAACAAAAAAGAATTCTCTCAAGGAATATATTATTTAAATAAGTTTTTTTTTAAGTTTGATTTGATTTTTTTTATTTTATATTAAATTATGGAAAAAATTTGGGTTCCTTTTGCAATTTTGTTGCCGAACACTTTTTGTTCCTTTCCTCGTTAGCTTCCAACTTAAAATCACACTCAAAATCATCACTAGCTATTGGAAACTCTTTCACACACCCCACAGTCATTTGTTCACTTAAATCCTCATCTTTTATATAAGGATCATTTGAAATATCATTAAAAATACCTTTTTGATTCAAAGACTCAAAGGTGGAAGCCATTTTACTAGCTTGGAGTGTTAAATTTTGAAGAGCCAATGCATGTTCATTAATTTTCTTTTCTTGCCAAGATCTCATTTCATTTTGATTATCTAGAATACATTGAAGCATATCCTCTATTGTTGACTTCTCCTCATGAATGTGGGTGCTTTCATCAACATGAGTATTGTGTGATGTATGAGGATGTGATGCATATAAGGAAAGAGAATGAGTAAAATCTCAAGACAATGCTTGTTCATGATTCCATCTAGGGTCAAGAGTATTATCATGAAAGTTAGTTTGGGCCTTAGCGTAATCTTCCTCCACATAATTCAAAGGTGAGACATAGGAGCATTGCTCATTATAGTGATCAACCCCATAAAAATTACAACAAGTATAATCATATTGGGATTCACAAGCATTAGTGGCATAACTAGAATTTATGAGTATCATACTCATATCCCCGCTTGCCCCATTAGTCCGCCAAGGAGAATCCATACACCAAGAGAACAAAAACACAAACTAATTCTTGGTGCAAGGAAAGCATAAGACAAAACTCTAGAAAACACAAAAACACACAAAAAGAACAAATAAAAACAAGAACACAAGAAAACAAGCAATAAGAGGAAACACAAACACACAAGAAACAATATTTACAATGCTCAAGCGAAATCTACTATCACTCGTCTAAGTGGAAAGGCTAAGTATCAAACTTTGCTAAATAAAACGAAAACCATTTTTTTAGCATATTCTTTTTTTTGGCCAACTTTTTTAGAATAAGCTAGACCCGGGGGGGTTGTGCATGTGTGCAAAGTTCGAATTATTAAATTGTATTATTTTTCTCTAGTAAATAATACCATTTGTTATACTTTTTGTAATTTATGTTATTTAAGTTAATAATAATAAAGTCAAGTTATCTTATTTTGGTTAAATGTTTATCAAAATTTAATATTAATATTTTAAAAATAAAATGTATCATTTACCAGAATAAATACTATAATTTATTTATCACATTAATGAATCAAATACACAAGCAAAGCTAACTAAGTAAATATCTTAAAATGACAAAAAAATTTTAAATGTAATTTTTTTAAGCTCTTGCAATTTTCCCAAACTCCCTTAAACCGATAATCTATTTTCGAGTGGGAGAAAGAAAAACAGAGCGGTCGCATTTGCTTCTTCACCAACTTTGAGCTCCCTCTTCTTGTCACCGTCAAACCCTTCCTCCTCACCTCCGACTTGTTCTATTACTCACCGTCAGCATGCCTCTTAATTCACTGGTGCGTTTCCACTGTACATCGGTTTTCTGTCTGGAGCTGAGCTGAGTCTCTGTTATGTTTTGTTTCGCTGTGCGGTGGCTGGAAGAGCGATCAAAACTCTTTTCTTTCCCTGTGCAGTCAGTGAGGTTTGTGTGTCAGTTACCATCGTGTGTTTCTGTCACTGAGAGAGCATGGAGTTGCTGGAATTCATTAGCTTGTCGTTCCTTATGGCTGTCTCTGTTCCAGGTTGACATCCGTGCGTGTACTCTTGCTCAACATGTAAGCTCTCTTTCTCTTCAACCACTGGCGGTGCATGCGTGTGTGTATAAAAGTTTGATTCATTTTTTTTCTTTAACTGGCCGATTTTCGTTGCTCTTTTTGCTGGTGCTGTTATGGTTTGTGAAGGAGATATTGGGTTATAGCTATGGTCTCGTGACTTAACCTATGGAGAGTGCCTTCAACATGTTTGTGGAAATGCTTGAATGAGAAATTTAAGTGTTGTTTAGATAATGTGTGCGCTATTTTACTAATGCCGAGTTAAGAATATTAATGAAGAAATTGAATGTTGGGAATTGTTGGACTTTGCTTGCGTGTTCGTCTCATAATTACTTTACTCATATTTTACTATAAATTTTTATATTTTTTTTATATTTTAAATTTCTATATTTTTATTTTTAAATCTATAAATGAACCTACACTTTATTCATTTAAAGACTTAAAATATCAAAAAATAAAAGTGTAGGGATTTAGAATATTAAAAAAAGTACAAAGATCTATAATAAAAAATGAGTAAAGTGTGAGGACTCCAAATTTTATTTTTTCATATATAAATATATAAAATATATAAATATATCTAAATAGGTCAAGCTTGAAGGCTTGCAGGCCAGGCTTTAAAAATTTAGGCTTGGCATATTTAAGTCTATAGGCATGGGTCTTATGTTTGGCCTCAACCTAGGTTAAATTATAAGTCACTTATTAGAAGCTTGGCCTACTCTTATTTTTAAGTTTTATAATTAAGCTTTGCTTGTAGTTTGAAATGAGTGCATTGTGTGGGAGTTAGTGTGCAAGTATTTGTTTTCTTAAACATATAAACAGTTTGCTCATAGGTTTGACTTGATTTGGTTTTGAAGAAAAACCAAATCGAATCAAACGAATTGATTCACTATAGTTCGGAACCTATTTGGTTTTTTATCAATAATTGACTTGGTTAGTTTTTAAATGGTTTGACTTAGGTCTAGATTAAGTTTGAACTTTTTTAATGAGATATTCTTCATAATCACCAATATATATTCATGTTCACCAATAATTTTTAACTATTAACTATTATTTGCAATGAAAAAAATCTCTTGAGCATAAAATAATATTTTTTAACAATTAATTAACATATTTAACTATTAAAAATCAATATATTACTTGTAAAACACTTGATTATAAAATTAAAAAATTATCTTAAATAATTTTAAATAACATTTAGCTAATTGTAACTTATTTTTATTAATGATTTATAAATAGCTAAACTTGGAAAGGGGAAAAAAAGTTTTGACAAATTTATAAAAATATATATAATAAATACAATAAGATTTGGTTTGATTTGGTTTAAGCTTTTAAAGCAAAAGTCTAAACCTAAATCAAACCAAACCAATCAATTTTATCAAAAGAAAAATAAAACCAAACCTCATTTATAATTATTTTTTATTGGTTCATGTCAGTTTGGTATGATTAGTTTGGATTGATTTTGAACACCCTTGATTAAAACATCTCTCAATTTTGTATAAGTAATTAGTTTGGATTGATTTTGAACACCCTTGATTAAAACGCCTCTCAATCTTGTATAAGCAATTTCCTAAAATAACTTATGATGAGACTCCACATGCTGGGTGCAACATATCCTAAATTTTTTAGATATTATCAATGGCTTCTATCCTTGTATCAAATTTGAAAATAATTTAACCTTTCTAAAGCGAATATTCCAACAAAATTTTAAACCTTTTATATTTTTTTTTTCCACATCGACCAGCCAGATCGAGTCCAGGTTTGAATTTAAAATGTATCTCTCTCTTGCATTCATTTTTCTCCCAATGCATGAGCTATGATGCAAATTTCAATAGATTTAAATTTTCTTCTACTCTTTTTTAATTCTTCTTTTTATATTTAATTTTATCTGGTAATTTGGCTATTCATTTAATTTAATGACCATTTATTTATTATCATTACTTAAATATTTTTAAAAATAAGATCATAATGTTTCTTTAGGATATTCATTAAATGAATAATATATTTAATTTAATTCCATAATTAATAATTTTACATCATTAAACCAAATAAATAATTAAATAAGAGAAATTTTTACATGGACTTGGTGTGCTGTGTCATTCATGCTTCATCCAA